GCCAAGGCAATATAGAGGGAAGGGGTGATAGCCAGCCATGGCAGTTGGCAGAATAATCCAAAATGAAAAATTACAATATTTATCTGATGAGGGTCTATGGTTCGAGTTCCGGGGGTGACAATAAAGCAGGTCTTCAGTCTTTCACATTCGCAACTTGGGTAACCGTGCAAATTTAATAATCATCGTGAAAAAAGGAGGAAAAAATGTTACGAGTTATGACTAACTGTCCACCACCGTAACCAGATCTTATACAGTGGTTCGTGCTCTTCTTCATTGCGTTTTCCTTCCCCTCTTGGACCTTTCCGAACCAGAGCCTTCCAAGTTGGACGGTTGTTGGCGCCTTGGAGATGTGTTGGAGCTAGGTGTCAGGTCACCGAATGTTTCAGTACTCCTTGTCAGCTTTGTGCCATTTTGTTGCACTCGCTGACTGTATAAGATCTGGTTACGTTGGTGGACAGTTAGTCATAACTCGTAACATGTTGTCCTCCTCTTTTCACCATAATTTAATTGGCTCACCATCCGAGTTAAAATTTAATAATTTGCAAAATTTCGAATTCAACATCTGTAAAAAGGATGCACACATCCAACGGAGGCGCATCGCTGCATTGAGCAGTCTACTTCAAGCCGCGTAGTCCAAACTCGTTTGCGAAAAAAAAATATTCAGTAAGAAGAACAACAAGGTCAATACTAGTCCTCGCCACTCCCAGCTTTATGCATACGCATTCATTCCGTCACGTTATGTGTATATATCATGTAAGTACAGACGTTTGCTGGTTTTGTCAGCCAGCATTAATTTCAAGTCACAGACCATCAACAATCCAGAGTCCATTCATATTTTCACCCTCATTCCAGTTAAACTTTTCTCTTACGTTCCCGGTATATTGGGGTCCTTTTGGACCCCAGTGCAGGCAGGCATAGTGGGACGGTCTAAGACCATGATTGAGAAACTGAGGATACCAGGTTCAAGTCCTGCTTGGAAGCGGAAGTATTTTTTTCCAGCCATGCTGCGACCCAAAGATATTATTGGGAACTCGTGGCCTGGCACGAGGAGAACATGGATGCAGTGAATGGGATTTTCGATCTTTGACCACTTGCTGGTGAGCTGATCTACTTCCCTCCCACCCGATTTAGGAGCTTGCATTTGCGCGTTGATCCTTGAAGGGTGGTGGCGTTCCTACAGATACGGAAAACTCGGTTTTCAGCCGAGTCGCACGTGAACCGTGAAAAACAATTGCACCCCAGGAACGTTTTTGGGTGGTATTCTTGCAAACTCTCCATTTTATGTAAAAATTGCTGTGTTACCTTCCCGTGGACCAATGCTTTGACCGAACTGCATTTTATTGACAACTCTGAAGTTTGTCGGCATTATTTGCAAGTTTGCAAGAATACCACCCAAAACTTTCCTGGGGTACTGGGAACGTAAGAAAAAAGTCAACATGGAATGAGGGAGTATGGATGTAGAAGAACATTTTCTGGTAGTGCCTCATACTTCATGGATGTCATCCATGCATTCGGTGACCATGGAGATAAATACCAAAAACGATCGCAGTTGTTGATCCTCTCTGTGTGCTATGTTACTGGGGTCCATTTGTATCCCGCCCGCATTTTCCGTTATAAAAGTGAAATCCATCATGAACCTGTAACCCAGATTATATATTTATCTCGGTTATTGTGTACATGACGTTTCAGGAAGATATGGTGCAGCAAAGTAAAAATATTTCAAAAATCATGCCTCTGGGGTCCGTTTGGACCCCTCAACCCGGAATGAGGGTTAACAATGGTCAGTTACGGTCGAGAACCAATAGTTCACTGCCAGTAGTGCCCGGGGTGCTGAGTCGACTGGTCTTGGTCCGAAGAAGCTGACACGCTCCCTTCGTCCCACATAGCCCAGTGCAACGCTCCACTTACACCGAAACTGGTTGACTCAACCCTAGTACAGTATGATCGGCTGCCGTTGAACACTTCGCGAAGAACACCTAGTTTAGTTTAGTTGTATTCCATACTGCTATGTTGTTCTGTTATCTTGTATGAACAAGGACAACAGAGAAAAGGAAACTAATAAAACTACCAGGATAAGCGTTGGTACAAAAGAAGGCAGTACAGAGACGGGGATCCCGAGAGTGTACAGATGCTTACACATAGAACCCTAGTTAGCTAATACAAGGAAATGTGCAAGGCACGCATAAGGAGCGTAGTGCGTGCAGGGTACAACAAGAATGCATATATAAGACATGTGAGTTACATACATAGAACACAGTTGATGCAGCACAGAGCAGGGGAGCATCATACATGGACAGGGCAGTCCATAAGAGCACATACATAAATGCGGTAGTGCAAACACAACACCTCCCCCTTCAGCGAGCAAGGGAGAAAAAGGAGCGAGAAGACAAAAATAAACAAGCAGCCTGGATGGAGGACACGAGAGTGAAATAGAGAGAGTCGGCAGACTTGGACAGACAATATAGCAGATAAAAGAAGAAAGAAGGAAGACAGATACAGATATTGAGAGTCAACAGATACTGAGAGTCAATAGATACTGAGAGCGGGCAAGAGACAGTCACTGTCAAGCACTAGAATGTTTTCGCAGGTGGCGGCGGTTGCGTCGAACAACAGCTCCGGACTGCGTATGACGAGTGACCTCGGCTCTGGAGCAACTGCGATCACTGTTGCCTTCTCCTTCGAGAGGCCGGTTGCAGACGTGACGATGTCACCCGGTACCGGAGGAGGGAGGTCACGAGTGCGGTGCCGGAGGTTGTATTGCCGGATAGACCTGGCTTTATGCTGTGCATCAGCAGCTTGAAATGCGTCGTGGTTGACTGGGGTACCCACTGACCACTTGTGTGGAGATTGCTGGTTTTTTAAAGCCAAACACGGATAGCAAGGAAAAGAGTAAGAAGTCAAAAGAAAAGGAAAAGAAGAAAAAGTAGCAAATAATGGACTATGGTATATTGGAAAAGAATGTCAACGCGCTCATCAGCTGTAACAAAGCAACAAAAGATTTATGAATTTTAATTATAGGTTAGTGCATGGCAGGGAGGGCCTTATGGCTTGTTAGTGCCCGACAGGTTAGCCTGAGGGCCGTAGGCCCGAGGGCTACCCTGAAGGGCACAAACAAGCCATAAGACCCTCCCTGCCATGCACTAACTATTTTAGAACGAGGTTACATGCATTATCTCACTTCTATTATGCGTGTGTACCACTATATTGGGTAGTTTTGTGGTTTGTGTGCAGAGAGACTTGGTGTGGTATGAAAGAAGATTTTCTTCTGGAAAGTTATGGTAACTCAGTACCACTTAGGACTACTAAACGTAGAATGGAAGAAAATGAAATGATGGGCTCTTATTGCGAGCTCCATTCTTATTCATACATGTAGCTTGTGGAGCTATTTAGGGGCTTTCAGAGCCCCTTGTCGATAACTCTGATGACTTTGATCTTCGGTTTTTATAGGTTTCCGCAAGCTGTTGACAAAGAAAATTCGTACAGGTGAAAGAATACGGGAGGCAAAAACCGTACACACTTCTGAATTGCGTAGCTTTTAGTAGTACACCGTACACGCTATGCAGAGTTCATTATCTGCACCGTACTATTATGCATACAGGGAGTTGTACGCACCAGTTTCGAGTGTATTCAGCGGGCTTTAAACTAATCCAAGGCCCTCGACGCGTCATCAAGAGTAGTAAAATAACGATTGAGCGGGCTTTAAACTCTGATAAGGCCCTTTGCGGGAATGTCCCTGATTGGTCGTTTCCTGGACAACGAGACAGACCTCGTTCTAAATACGATTTCTTCTTCTACTCAAACCCAATTGTGGTGATTGATTTCCGATGAATGCCACGAGAAAACATATAACTCGACTGTTACTTTGGGACTGTGAATGATCACTACATAGTGCACATATTCACATGGGACTATAGCGGTAAACACACGCCTGCCCACACACGCTCTCCAAGCTGCAAAGTTCTGGCACAGAGCTCTCCTTCTCACCACCACCACCACCATCAGTTCGCGCCTGGCGCCTCGTCGATGCAAGGGTGGCGGTATCCGACAGAGCAGGCTGGTACATCAAGTAGCGCATTGCTTATAGAAGATGACACAGCAACGACATAGCTCGATTGCGACGTACGTTTCGCCCCCGCTGGACTCATCAGGCAATCTTCTGCTTGGATGTCTTCATACGGAGCTTGACTCGGGAGAATGAAGTTGAAGACACCACTGCAGCTGTACTTATGGTTGATAAATATGGTGGTAAAGACACACCTGGCAATATGGCGGTAAAACACGGCTGCCCACACACGTATATCGCAGTCGAGCGATGTTGTTGCTGTGTCATCTTCTATGTGCCATGCGCTACTTGATGTACCAGCCTGCTATGTAGGATACCGCCAACCATGCATCGAAAAGGCGCCAGGCGCAAACTGATGGTGGTGGTGGTGAGAAGGAGAGCTCTGTGCCAGAACTTTGCAGCGTAGAGAGCGTGTGTGGGCAGGCGTGTGTTTACCGCCATATTGCCAGGCGTGTCTTTACCACCATACTTATCAACCATAAGTACGGCTGAAGTGGTGTCTTCAACTCTTACCCCACCTGAAAAATTCACTGACTTACGTTGCTCACTGATCAAATAATTATGCAATCTTTCCTCTGAGGTCTTAATTAAATTCTACTCAATTTTTTTCAATTTTCTTTTAATCTTTTCCTTACATTTGTGCGCCTGTAACTTTAGTCCATCTCATGTAATAAGGCAACACTGCCTGTTTGTTATTCGACATTAAATAAAACAATCCAATCCAACTTCATTCTCACATGGGACTAAGTTGGATTGCATTTTCTGGATCCCTTGGAACGATGCTAAATCCAAAGATCAAGGCTGTAGCCAACGGGTGGGGAGGTATTAAAATAGTTGCAAGTAAGCATGGGGTTACACACAGTTCTGTCTGTAGATATGTCCACAATGTCACTCTCTTCTAAAAACTAATCTGCTGCATGCTGCTTGTGATCTTCAGGGAACTCCTCCATTTCAGCGGATTGAACAGTACTTATGAAGCATATTTCTACCGCTTATCCATCTTCATGGCTAATTTACGAGACCATTGGATAGCGCAACAGCAGCTCAGTAACAATGCGCACAGAAACCCTCCCGGAGATGGTCACTAGGTGCATCTGACCCTTTCTCCAGCTCGCTATACAGCAAGCCAACAATCATATTGACGTTGAGGAAAAATGGCAGATGCTGGTACACTTGTGAGGCCAACTAACTGTTATACATTCAATCGCACACGTGTACAAGTCGTATTTGGCTGACTCTTCTGCTGATATCAAGCCGGAGGTGGCATCCAAATGGATCACGACGTCCTTTTGTTTGCTATTTCTATTCATCAACATCCTGTTAGCGCTGGGAATTCGGAGGCACAATTTCTAGTTCAATTCAGCAACCATATCTGAACAGCACGACAGTGTCACTTGAAAAGAAAGGTCCCGACACAACTGTTCCACAGGATCGCGGCCCACTACCTAAAGAGTCTTGAACTGCAGGACAACCAAGAAGCAAGACTGTTTGATGGAGCTTGAATGTTATCACTTTGCCGCAGAATTAATCATCTCTAAAAGATCACATGGCTATGTTTGACAGCATTTGCGCATCTACAATCCCTGCAACCGCTGAGTGCCCAGCAGTTTGTCGGAATACCTTCTGTGCTGACAGAGCAGAGAGAGAGAGAGAGAGAGAGAGAGTTTATGCTTTAGGTCTTTTTAAATTTTGAACGTGAGAAAAAGACTTTTTTTCACCATGAGGCGGCCCTCTGTGGCGTTGAAATCTCGTGCTCTCCTCACGTTGCAACGTGAGGAGAGCCATTTTCGCCGTGAGATGTAACGTTTGAAATTGGAAAAAATTAAGCATAAACTTTCTAAGGGCCTCTGGGGGGGGGGGGGGAGGGGGAGTTGGAAACGGCATGCCGTGCCATGAGGTCGAATGCGGTGAGTAGTAGGTATTTTACTACTCCCTGATAGGAAGTTTTTTTCTTTCTTTTGTATTGGTGGTACAACATTTTTTCTAGGCTTTTTGATTTGTTTATTTTTGAGCCTTCTCCAGTCATCCCCCCCCCCCCCCCTGCTATTTTCACTCACTTCATGTTTTGCCAGTACAAGAGGCATCGGACTAACGGAAAAATCCACAGCCAACGCACCCACGGGGACCGAAGGTTCGTACTACACGCTGATTTCGCCCAAATCACGCTTGAAATTAGTTCGTCTTCACGAAAGTTCGCCGTACAGAAGTTCTTCAAAACGGAATAATGTTGACTTGATATGAGCCAGAGCGCGCTAAAACATGACCACGGCTTTTTTTTTTAAAGTCGAGAAAATCGCGATTTGAATTCCGCGGCAAAAAAATACGAAGTGCAGTGCAACGCGAGTCGCTGTTGTTGTTCTCCTCGGTCGACTGGACTGTTCCGGATGCATTTCTTTGTTGCAAGTAAGTTTATTTGTTTGAGTTTGTATTCCATGTTGCGCTGAGTCGCCTAAAACTGATCGTCATCGATGTATCGACGGAAGAGCCTAGTAGTAGTAATGTACTGCGGAGCGGAAGAAGACGACATCCTCGCACTCCATGCGCAGGATAAAATATTTTGAGGACTCGGGTCGGAAACAGAAGGAAGACGATGATGGCTACAGCGACGAGTCATTTGAGGGCGACACTTTCATCGAGCGTAAAAGAATTGATGCTGGTAGTCACACGATCTGCAGTGACGAGGAATTCTACTCTGATGACAATCTGGCAAGCGATTGGCATCGACACTGACTTGGGAGGTGAGTCGGCCGATGATTTGGCCAGAATGGACATCGCTGCACATATCCGGGACAATGCCAGTATTGGCTGCAACTGCAAAAACAATCAATGGACTCTGCTGCTCCCTCAACTTGCTCAAGTCGATAATTTGAGTACCCTTATGCGGAACATCGCTAGCACGAGCAGTAGGCAGCGAAAGCAGTACTCTCTGGCGAGCGGAGAAAACCGTGTGCAGATGGGCTTTGGTGTGGGGAATATGAGTGCGACGTCGAGTATGTTGAGGAAGACGGTGTGCAGCAGTGTATATCGTATATCTGAAAGTACAGGTGGAGTGTGATGGAGAGGACGTGGCGTGTCAACTTCTTCGTCCGTCTACAGATGTTGACTGTGTTTTCGCTGGCGGTTCTCCAGTGGTGCTCCAAACAGGAGGTATTTCGGACACCCAGCTCAGCTGCCATAGAAATTTTGGATGTGGCTGAGTACCTGTCAGCTCATGCTATAAGACCCTGGACAGAGGAACTGACCCGGAAAGGATGAACCAAGGGACATATCAGCAGTGTGCAAAAGTGACAATCCTATTGCTGTACATAGAATTTCACCATTTCAACAGTGCTGCATATAATACCATTGTAGCAACACTTAGACATGTCAGATCAATCCAAAACTTTCAGACAGTGAACATTAGGTGTGTTTGATCATTTTTGAACAAAAAACTGAAAATCGAATTTTTGGTCTGTGGTCATATTTTAGCGTGCTCTGGCTCATATGATGCCTGGTGTTATGAACCCTCTGAGATTCTCTAAATTGTCAGGATCAAACAGCCACACGGCACGCGCACAACTCTTTTCTCTTCCACAATCGAACAATTAATAAATAACACTAATATCACCAGCTATTTATAGAATGCGAAACCGTACATGCAAAAACATACGCATATAAAACGGGACACAACAGCGTATACAGTAAAAACGCACACAGCGCATATAGCGTATGCCATGTAGCAACATCAGCGGTACGGCGGAGTCGAGATAGAACATTGCAACATTGCAACGAATACAATGCCATAAGCGCGAAGGCCTGTCCCACTTGAGAACTGGTGATTTGTAACATTCTCTCCACCAAAGGGCTTCTCACCACCGTACAACAATGCGCACAAGTCAAAAACGATCCGGGGCTCTGACTACGCGCCCAGAACGCGGTGGTGGTGGTGGTGGTAACGGTGCTGACGGTTCAGATGCTGGCTGCTGCTGGACGATAGCAGGTTGTGTGGCATCGGCAGGCCCAGGAGCCACGCCCTGTGTCCATACATCTAATGGCACTAGCCTGTGGGCCAGCCTCAACAGGGTACTGGCACTCAACTTAACCTTGGCAACACGACGCTTACCATCTCGACCAGGGATTAGCTCGACGATCCGCCCCCCAACACCAGAACTGCTTGCGCTTGGTATCATCGAGAACAAAGACAACATCACCCACAGCTAAAGAATGCGACATGGTCTGTTGGTGCTTGTTCAGCTGACTTAGGTACTCCACCTCCCAATGATTCTTGACATGCTTCAGTGTCCGACTGAAGTAGAGCAATCTCGATGACATCTACGTAACGTCCAGGGTACCTGCTGGCTTCTCTGACGACATCCAGATGTTACCCATCATCATTGCAGGGGTTACTGGTGGCTCAGCCAGACTATCAGACACATACGTTAGCGGACGACTATTCACCACTGCTTCAACCTCATACAAGAGGGTCTCAAGCAACTGGAAATTCAGAAACGCTGTTCCCATTACCTTCTTCAAGGCACTCTTCACCATACCAACCATTCGCTCATAGAAGCCTCCATGCCATGGTGCAGCTGGAGGATTGAACATCCATGGCACACTCAGTTTGTCAGATGCAGCTTTGAAGGTTGTAGCGTTGTCAGACCTGATCAGAGACGGCAAACCAGGTCTCGCGACGAACTTCCGAAATGCTATCAAGAATGACTCAGTACTTAAACTATCGACCGCCTCCAAGTGAATTGCTCTGGTGGTGCCACACACAAACAATGATATCCATACCTTCGGAGATGGCTCACCACCGCGCACGTACAACGGACCAGCAAAGTCGATGCCGGTAGTTGCGAACGGCCTCTCGTGAACAACTCGGTCTTCTGGCAGCGGCGGGCAGACTTCTGAGGCAGCCTTAGCCTTGTAGCGGCGGCATGTAACACATTGCTGAGTAATGTTGCGTAGCGCTCGTCGACCACCGATAATCCAGAATTTCTGACGGATGTACGACAAGACCCCTTCTACACCTTGGTGCATCCTTTCGACATGCGTTTTCTCCAACTGGAACTCGGTCAGATGATGTTTGCCTAAAAGGACTGGGTGCTTGGCTCCATACGCCAACTCGCTGTGCTGAAGTCGTCCCGGCTCTGAGCACTCCATGCTCATCCAGAAACGGTGCAAGCTGATACACCTTCGACCCAGGCTTCACTGGTTGACCTTGCTTGATCAGCTCATGATCCTCAGCGAAACATTCGGCTTGAACGATGCAGTACAATGCGTTGTCTGCTGCAAAATAGAGTTCAGCACGAGGCTCAGTGTGCTTCCACTGCAACATCCGAGTCACCATGCCCTGTGCCATCGACCACTTACTGAATCGGAGTCACCAGTCATTATCAGATTCTCAACTACAGGTGGTGGCTGACACTCTCACTTCTACACTGGACTCATCTGTAGCTGCGGTTGAGGCTGCGGTGGGTCAGTCATTGGGCTCCGTGATCCAGGTTGGTCCGCCCATCCAGAACGGACTACAGATCTGCTGTGCACTACTCCCACGCGGCGGTAAATCTGCTTGGTTGTGAAGGCCCCGGCAATGGTTCCACACAATGCCGACCTTCTTCGATGTCTCTTGGACTTGACTGACGCGGTTAGCCACAAATGTTTTCCATTTGTACGATGGATTACTGACCCAATGAACCGTAGTGAGACTGTCAGTCCAGCCATAGACATCACCCAGCTGCTTTACCACAAACTCAGCGTAGCGAGCCGCTAGACATACTGCTTGTAACTCAAGGTGGGCTAACGTGGGCGGAGACACCGGTGCCACTTTGGCCTTGGCAAATACCAAGTGCGACTGTCCATTGACGACTCCATACAAAGAACATCCAATTTTTTCTCACTGGTATCCGAAGGCATGAAGCGCAATCGGCGTGTCAAGATTGCAGCAAATCCAACTTGGTATGTCAATGCTCACCACTTCGGCCAACTCTCCCCACAATTGCGCACATGCGGCTGCGATGCCATCAGGCAACTTATCATCCCAGTCGCCATCGACTTTCCAGGCTTGCTGCAGCAGTATCTTTCCCGGCACAACTGCCGGTGTTGCTAGACTCAGCGGATCAAATACTGACGCAACACACTTTTAAAAGGAGGGATCGCCGGGTCCAAACAGGCGGCCTATCGGACTCGCCTAGCACTGCTATGCTGAGCAAGTCATCACTGGTTTTCCATTTCAGATCGAGGACTTTATCTCCGGCCTCTGGATCGCACGGGATTTCGTTGCCTCGCCACTTGCTCAACTCCATGCCAGCATCTGTAAGCACACGCACGCTGAACTCTTGCATCTTCTTTGCTTCCAAGGCATTTGAGACACTAGAGACCAAATCGTCAACGTAGAAATTCGTGAGCAAGAGATCAATACGGTCTCACTCTTTGGGTGCAGACAGCGCCCGTAGCTCCTTCAAGTGATGCTGAGTCACCACAGTAA